TGAATTTCTCATTTTGATTTTTCTTAGTTAAAATTTGAGAACATTGACCTCGATATATGGAAAAATACATTGTGCTTTGATATAAATGTAATATTAATAGTTTTGAAAAGTATTTTTGAAATATTAAATTTTATAAATTATATCTATATATAAAATAGATATTAATGATTACAATGCTACATTACATATCGTAAAAAAATCAAATGAGAAGATCTTTTTCGGATGGAATAATAATGCTCCCGTCCCAAAATGTTTGCCACATTTCCTTTTTCAACCATCGCGGGAACTTTTGTTTATTTGTACGCCTCCATTGATTATTTGATAAAATAAAATATTATTGACACTTCTTATTTCAAAGAATTTTTCATTTAGTTTTTAAATATATAAATTTTATTTTTTTGTTTCTATAGCGATATTTAAATAAAATGAATTGAAAAAACTTGATACTTTGCCTCATTTTTCGAAATGTGGTAAACATTTAGAGACAAAGGAAGTAATAATAATAATACTCCAATATCTAGAAATAAAGTTCTCATTTTGATTTTTCCTAGTCAAAATGGTGAATATTGACCTCGATATATGGAAAAAATACATTGTGCTTTGATATGCATGTAATATTAATAGTTTTGTTTTGAAAGGTAATTTTGAAATATGAAATTTTATAAATTATAACTATATACTCCCTCTGTCCCTGAAAACCTTTCTTCTTTATTTTTTCATTCGTTACAAAAAACACTTCTTATTTCTATTAAAAAGTAACTTTTACCCCTTACTTTTTTATATCTTACCTATCATATCATACCTTTTTACTAATAATCAACCCATCAAATCCTACTTTTACCCATCACATCAAAGGACATTTTTGGAAATTTAGTACCAAAATACATTCTTCTTAAATCTCTTTAAAATCAAAACATCACATGTTTAAAGGGACGGAGGGAGTATAAAATAGCTATTAGTGATTGTAGTGTTACATTACACACCGTTATAAAATCAAATGGGAAGATCTTTTTTGGATGAAATAATAATACTCCCTCCGCCCCAAATGTTTGCCACATTTCTTTTTTCAACTGTGAGAACTTTATTTATTTGTATGTCTTCATTGATTATTTGATATACCAATATTTAAATAAAATGAATTGAAAAACTTGATATTTTGCCTTGTTTTTTGAAATGTGGCAAACATTTAGGACAGAGGTACTAATAATAATAATAATAATAATAATAATAATAATAATAATAATAATAATAATAATAATAATAATAATAATAAAGAGTGGGGTAATATGGACGGAGTAGAATTCAAACCCCACCATGCCGCGTCCTAGAAGTAGGTGCTGAAAGTTGCAGAGAGAGCCATGAAATTCAGGACCAAAAGAAAAGAAAAAGGGACAAGACCTCTTTTAGTGCAATGATGATGGGCAAAAGCACGATCTCAAAGCATGAATGATTCGTCACTTAAAATTGATGAGGGGAGAGAGAGAGAGAGAGTTTTACTCGTATACACTTCATATTTTTCTCCCCATTTTTTAGGGCTAGTGTTTTATATTGACACATATCAATATCATCCCACTAATTTTATACTACTACCTCCGTTTCTCAAAAGAGTTTCTCTTTTGACTTTGGGGGAAAATAAGGAAGTGTTAAATTGTAGTTGACTTTCCAATTTTGCCCTTGATGTTTATGGGTAAAAGTAAGATGTGATAGTTTAGTTGTTAGTGAAAAAGTATGATGTGATAGGTAGAGTATGAAAAAGTAGAGGTAAAAGTGGTTTTTTAATAAAAAGGGGAAGTGTTTTAAGAAAAACAAAAAAAAATGAAAGAGGAAGGCTTTTAAGAAACGGAGGTAGTATATCCTTCCTCCCTTAATAAACTTCATTTTTTCTCTTTTGAGTTCAAAAGTCATTCTCCTTCCCTCTACACACAATTTTTCTTTGTTTTATTTTGAACTTAGTTTATTTGGTTATACTATAAAATGCAAAAAAAATTATATTTAAAAATTACGTAAACAGTTCTATATTTTTAATATACTTTACAAGAAAATGAGTAGTAAAAATAAAAAATAGAACGAATAAACTATAACCGTGTAAGCAGGGGCGGACCTACGGTTGTGCAAGTGGGTTCAATTGCACCCACTCCAAAAAAAATTATTTATTAGTAGTAGTATGTAATTAGCTATTATATGTAGATTAAGGGCATCCAAGAAGAGTATATTTATATGTGATTAGGTGCTATTTTTTTGAAAATGGAACAGAGAACACCTTTTATAATTGTGTAGAATTTTATGTTTTAATTCTTTTAGATTTGGAAAATTGATTTAACTTTAATTACGAAACTTAATTATAAAATGTTCAATTTTTTTGAAATGTATGAACAAGTTTAATTGTTTTAAAAAGATTCCTAAAAAATATACTTAGTATTTGAAGAAATNTATTATATGTAGATTAAGGGCATCCAAGAAGAGTATATTTATATGTGATTAGGTGCTATTTTTTTGAAAATGGAACAGAGAACACCTTTTATAATTGTGTAGAATTTTATGTTTTAATTCTTTTAGATTTGGAAAATTGATTTAACTTTAATTACGAAACTTAATTATAAAATGTTCAATTTTTTTGAAATGTATGAACAAGTTTAATTGTTTTAAAAAGATTCCTAAAAAATATACTTAGTATTTGAAGAAATTTCTAGAATTAATATTTTAGTTGTTTAGTTTTTTTTTTCTTTTTTGGTTAAAGCAATGAACACGTATTATATTTATTATACAGTATTTCAAAAATATTACATACAACTTGCAATATTTATCTCAGAATGCTATTTATTGATACTTTTTTACCTTATTTTAAATTTATTGCTATACAAATATCAAAATTTTCTTTTTGTGCACAAAATGTGAACCCACTCACCGAAATTCCTGGGTCCGCCACTGCGTGTAAGTAGTGCATAAGAAGAAAATTTCTAAGGAGAGGGAGTAATGTTTGACCTTGAATACTTCATAAATGAAATTTAAGCATTATTTTTTCATAATTTTTGGTAATATAAATAGTGATATTTTCTATGTCCTAAAGAGATTATCAAAAATTTATTTTTTAGTCAATTATATTACATTTTCGTCACAAAGTGTAAAACAAGTATATTTAGTTATAATTTAAATGTATTAAAATTAGTTTTATTTTAAAATAGTTTTGATGTAACAATTTTTTTATACCTTTTTATTGTTTAAAATTAGATTTAATTTATGGTCAAAGTATTAGGTGAACATCGGAACCCATAAAAAAACAGAAATGAAGTTTATTTAGAGGAGAGATTCTATGGTGGACCTAAGGTCCACATAGACATTCTCATTTTTTTTATATTTTAAAAATACTTATTTCAACACTTAAAAATTCTTATTTAACATATATAATCCACCATGGATCTTAGCCCACACAATAATTTGCATATTTGAAGACAAAAAAATGTGCCCCGTATTAATTTTGATAATGAAATATCAAATGTCACTTGCATATATTTCAAATATGACACTTGCATATTCCAATACTCTCTAACATGTGGACTATGTTTAAGGTTATGAAAATTAATAATCTCAAGAGTATGTTTTTGTAATTTGTAATTTATTTTCATCCTTTTGTCGTTCTATTCTTATTAAGCTTACTTAAATTGTTAAAAGAAAAATCACCTAAACAAATTTTAATTTTTACTCCCTAATTTTTTTTAGTTTAATTTTTTGTTTGTTTTTTATGCAGACAAGATAGTTCACACTTAAACTTAATTATTTTACACGTTAGTTTTGAATCTAGAGACTAGAATCTCACATCTACATTATCGTAAGTGAGTTAAATGCATTGTTATTATAAAATTAAGTTTACTTGTATGAATATTTAATTTATATTAAATTAGCATATGACTCGAAAAAATATTTTGTACAGAGTAAATATTTTTATTTATTTTATACATATATAAATTTTTTAATTTTATGCCAAATTTTAAATAAATGAAATTAGAAATAAGTTTAGTTAAATATCTTAAATCTGAATAGATCAAGTATAAAAAAAGATGAAAGTGTTACGTGTACTAATTTTTGAAAAATAAGCTCAAAAAAATTTCATAAGCCAAAATAAACAGATACAAGAGGAAGAAAATTACAAAATATAAATTAAACTTCTAGAAATGACATTATTCGTTTAACTTAAGAAAAAATAAAATAAAAAATAGTGGAATGAAAATTATACTCGGACACATGTCAATAAATAAGTGGGACGGCAAACATGCCGTCCCAAATAGAGTTTATTGCACCGGCTTCTTGACACTCCTTGCATTTGTCAAACTGCGCAACGCCTACCAGCTTCTTCTTCTTTTGTAATTTACCCTTATGTGCTATTGCATAAACTTACCGTGTTACCCGGAACAATTTATTCATTTCAAATTTCAAAATAAAGTACCGAGTATATATATTAAGTAAATTCAATTTATATATACAGTTTAAGATTGAAAACTCTTGAAGGAAATTAAAAAGAAATTTTTTAAAGAAAAGTGAAAAATATGTATTTAATTTTTTTTTAAAAAAGAAAGTGTGTTGAGAAATGTACGTACCTCATAAATTTCACCACACGACAGTAACGTACATGGAACACCAAGATAATTTCATGTACAAATGTTTCAACTCTCAACAACAAAAGCTAAAACAAATGGGACCAAAAAACTATTTTGATCAATTAAAATAAATCCCAAATTCTAATAATAAAACTGCAAGAAAACACCAAAAGAATAGTTTGGACACTAGCAAACACACAGCTTGGTAGACATGGAACATGGCATGTAATGCAGATGACACATCTTTTCAATTCAATTATTATTTTTGTTATTTTTCCCTTGGTAAAAAAAAAGATCTGAAAAAAAAGAACATGGTTCTGAGCTTTTACTTTACACATGCACCATATATAATTATATAACAATAATCATATATGTGAAAAGGATATATATATGATAAATATGGAGTATATAAAATTGCACACAGGAAGAAAAATAAAATAAAATCCCAGAAATTTATGAATAAATAAAAAGCAGTAAAAAAAGAAAGAAAAAACTCCATGGATCACTCTTAGTTGAAATGTTGTTGCTCCAACCACGGCCAGAACCCGGTCTGGTCGTCGATGGAGCAAAACATGCTGGAAAGGCTTTCTTCCTTGACAGACTGGTGGTGGTGCTGGTGGTGGAAATCCGTGGGTGGCGGCGGCGGCGGCCTGGACGAGTTGTGGAAGAGGTGGGCCGCCGCCACCGCCGTGGTGGCTACGGGGCGGATGCCGCCGTTGGATGGTGGGAAGATGGGCCTGCAGGTGGTGGTGGTGACACCACCGCCATGTGGATGGCTGTCAATGGCTGGAGTTGTTGTTGTTGTTGTTCTTGAGATGTCCAGCTTGATCTCTGAGCTGTTCTCACTCCTATTGCTGCATGATCCTTCTGTCTCTTTGTTTAGGTTTATTGATTCTGTTGGCTGTTGATCCCTGTTTTTCAGTGCCATTATCTGCCACCCATGCCATTTTTTTTAATAAAATTATTTTCTTATCACTTCACAAAAAAAAAAAAAAATAGTCCAGTACATAAAAGGGTATAACATAGGCAAATCTTACCCTGCATTTTTGCAAGAAGTAACTGCCAGGACTCGAACCCGTGACCATAGAGTCACACAGTCACAAAATAATAACACAATTCCAAACTCATTTAATTATGAAAAAATAGGAAAAAATCCAAATTTTGTATCTCAACTTGCACGTCAGTGTATCACAGACATATAGACAATCATTGTCTGTGCATGCACAAACAATGGTTGTAAGTATATCTGTGATATACTGGTGTGCAAGTTGGGTATAAAGTGTGGGGTACCCTAGGCCCAAGGGTACCTCAATAAAATATTGTAGTGGTGAATCATAGAGTACAAAGTGTAAGTGAATGAGGTGAAAAGTCTAATTGAAAGGAACTTTTCCTTCTGGTGTAGCATCAAAAGTTTCACATGAGAGAGTTAGGGAAAAAAGAATTGTGAAAGTGTTTCCCACTAAAATCCTTTCACATATATAATCATAAAGTAATAAAAAAAAGGGTAGTAAAATATTTCATTTTGCATATATACATCACATGCATGATAACATGTCATTGATGGTTCAAATTGCAATGTTAGGATGAGAATGCACACTACATTTATTGGGATAATATATGTTCCTAATTAATGTCAAATTTTATTTTCAAAAAAAAATGAACAAGTCAACCATGTATGCATGGTTTCATAATTATTATGCTATGATGACAATAATCATGAGCACTACAAGAATAACATAGTCAACACACACTATATGACTTAATCCCACCTAACAATGGACTTTAAATATGTTTATATAAAACAATATGAAGTAAAAATATTCAACTCTTAGGAACTGAAGAGAAATCCAAGTCAACCAACTCTGCCCCCAAATCAAAAAATAAAAACTCCAACAATACAACTATTGATTTACTATATTTGAAATATGTAAATTTTATTTTTATTTTTTTAAAATATGAGAAATAAAAAGAAAGAAAAATAAGTACCTCAGAATGAAGCTTGTGGTTTTGGGCTTGGAGGGCATCATTTTCAGCCTTGACAGCATCAAATTGCCTCTTGAGGAGCTCAAAGTCTTTTTCCAATTGCTTGGTCTTCCACCTAGCCCTCCTGTTCTGGAACCAGATGGCAATCTGCCTGGGCTGCAGCCCAAGTGCCCTGGCCAGCTGCATTTTCCTCTCTGGCTCAAGCTTGTTCCCCAGCTCAAAGTTCTTCTCAAGCGTCTTCACCTGCTCCATGTTCAGCCTCCTCTTCTTCTCCCCCGCCTGTGACCCGTCGTCCGACAGCTCCTCCTCCCCCTCGCAGTTTTGCCCCCCCGCCTCCACCCCCGAATACGACACCGATCTCTTCCCTAGAAATGATGCCACCCCTGCCCGGCCCCCAAATCCACCAAAGCCCGTCAACAAACCAATCCAACCAAAAACTCTAGAAAAATTCATTCCTCTTACGTACAAGCTTTGGTTTGTGATTTTTAGTCCAAGAAAAGTTTTTTACACTCTTACAAAACCCAATACCATTAACCCCTTTTTTTTAAGAATGATTAAATTTAAATCTGTGTTCTCTAAGTTTGTCTTGTGCAAAGCTTAAAATTTAAGGTTCAAGAAAGGATTTTACACTTTACCATGGCTTTTCCTTGTTGTAAAAAAAAAAAACCCAAAATCAACAGTACTCTATCATGAAAACGGTGACAACAAAATGAAATCTATATAGATGCATGAAACCCTACTTGTGAATAGATATATAGATACAAAAACAAGTAGATCTTGGGAGAGAAGAAGAAGAAAAGAAGAAGAACTTACCATGGAAATCTTGAGGATTGCAAGAGGGAAGAAGGGGATTGAGGGAAGTGGAGGGTTGATGGTCATCATGATCATGAGAAGTTTGGAGCATGAAATTTGTAGGGAAGAAAGCCATTTCAATGCAAGTCATGATGATAACCTAATTGAGATGTGATTCTTCATGCTTATTAATTGCAAGAATTTATGAAGGGGGTGATATGATGGACATTCAATTCATATATAATTAAGATGGATAGGTTCACATACAAGAGAATTTTGATTTGTTGTGCAAGGAAAGATGAGAGAGAAGAGAATAATATGGTTTATATCTCTTTTGAGTATTTTTCTTTATTTGAGTTAACATCAAAGAGAAGCTAAGAGAGCATGATAGCTGTAATAATTATTATAATATTATAATTTTAATAAGAATTGTGTTGGATTGGAATAGAAGGAGAGGTTGTGAATGAATATATGGGTTCGATGCATCCATGATATAGATGCATTACTTATATACCATTTCAGCTTTTTGTAAAACAAAGCCTTTTTCTTTTTCCTTTTTTTGAGAAAAAAAAAATACCCCGGGAAAAAAGAACACTTCCGTGTTCTCTTTAAAAAATTAATGGCTCATACTCACCTTAACCCTTTGGCCCCGCATGCTCGCCGTTTGACAACAATAAATATTGTTACCAAGCGACGAAGACGAGGGGATTGGGCTAGGAGGGGGTAGGGAGCAGGGTTTACAGAAGTTAGGAACCATTTATTTTTCGAATGGAGTACCGTAAGGACTATAGTGGACACTGATGTCAAGCGAAGTCGATCAGTGTCATTTGACAAAGCAATCCACTTTGTGAATTTTGTTTGTTTGAAATGAGGCTCTTTTCATTTGGATATTACTGGTAACTTTTAACTTTGAACTTCTTCCAACTCTTTGTTTTAATTCCTCCAAGTTTTTCTACTTTTTTTTAACTCCAAATTTATTTCAACTATGCACTAAAAATAAATTAGGAAATTCTAGTTACCATCACACTGTTACTCGACGTTTGAGATTGACGATTGAGCAAATATTTGGAAGTTTGAAGAAAGGCCTTGTTTTGGAACAACGTTTTCGATTAGCGTTAGTATTTTGGATAATTTTAATGGTATAGATTAATTTTGAAAATGTTAACACTAAAGGCTAACGTCGGATGACTTTTTTCAAAATGATAACGCTAACCTCTAACGATGATGCCAAACGAGGCCAAAGTGTGGGAAATATTGCATCATATGACGGTGGTATGTATGAAATTGACGGTTTCTACCCCTCTTAACCTTTCGGTAAACCCCTTTCCACGCTCCGCTCCGAACCCACCGCCCCACCCACTTCAATTGCATCTCCCAAGTTTAGTTGACTTTAGAGTCAAAATTTTGTCTCCAAAGTCAATTAAACTTGGGAGATGCAATTGAAGGGAGTGGGGTGGTGGGTTTGGGACGTGGGGCGGGGTGAGAGGGTTTACCGGGGGTTAAGAATGTAGGAACCGTCAATTTTACGAACGGAGTATCGTACGACTCCCGAGTCATCCCATGACAAAGCAATGTCATGGAAACTGCCCTGTCTACAATAGAGCAAGTGCAAAATTAGAAAACAACACCGAAATTACACATTTTTAATTCTAACTTTTTGGAAGCACAAAAAGTTTATCAAGAGAGACAGAGGGAATAATTAACTAATTCAATTTAGTAAAGAACAATGTATGCTTATATTTTTTTTCTTGAATTAACTATTACTGGTGGCCATGTACGTACCATAATATATGCAACACAAAGAAATAAATAAAAGTTATAGCTTATATTATTTGATTAAATAACACAAACAAAGATTGAGTTGAGGGTTGGCATAATAATTAAGTGTGTACACCAGATATTTTTGGTGTACTGTAAATGTAACACTGTCTTTTACAACCACACCAGTACAATTTTGATCAGCTCGTGATATATATATATTGGGTTTGGGTTTTGCTATGTGTTTTCAAATAGATGCACGTTACTTGTTCCCATCTTTGTACGGACTATTATTTTCTTACTATTAGCCTACACTTTTTTCTTCTTCTTATTAATTATTGGTGCTTTGGAAAATTCATTGTTAATGATTATTAAAAGTTAGCATTGTCTTCATTAAGTACAAATTTGCAGTATTTTTTATTCTGCTATAAAATGTTTCTGTCTTAAAAAAATATTTTTTTCACTTCTTCGGTCAACTTTTTACACACTTTGACTATTATTTCTTCCGTCCTAATTTGAATCACATGCTGTTGTTTAGGAGGCTTGACTGAAGTAATTTTCAATCAATTTATTTGAAAATTGGCATGGATTTAAAAAATAAAATTTATATATATTTGAAAATTACATTAGAAATTCTACAAAACAATGATGAGACAAAACTATATTTCTCAAATGGGTAAAAAATGGATAAGGAATGTAGTTAAAATTTGACCATATGAATAGTAAACAAACGGCTTAAATTGGGACAGAGAGAATAATAAAGATGAAAAATAATTTTATATAAATAAATATTATAAAAATTTGATATATCAAAATTAAATTTTAAAATAAACTCAATAATTATATTAAATTTACATTATAACAGAATATATTTTTTCCTCATAATTTCTCGTAAAATGCGTAGAAAATAGACCAAAACAATGAGAATGTGATTTTTTTGGGATAGAGGTACCACAATATATGTATTTAATTTAATCCCTTAAAAAAATAAAACTTTTTCATTGACGTATTCGAGAAAATAGTATAGGAATAATAACTATTGTTGATGTAACTGAAATTGTAAAATTTTCTATTTTAGTTTTGGCTCAATGACAAAAAAGGGCAGTATGAGGCCATGCAGGTTTCTGCATTGCCAGTTGTCTTGAAATTTAAATTAGGATGGCAATTTGATTCCCCGTTAACAAATGGAGAAAGTAGTTTCATAAATTAAGATTCCAATTATCCTTTCCTTATCTTTTCTATTCCCTCCCTCCATATAAGAATGTGACTTAATTGGATTTTCTTGATTAAAATTTAGTAACTTCAAATACTATAATTATTATAATGCGAATTTAATATCATTTATTAAATACATACATTCTAAAACAAATTGTTAAATTTTCGGTGGGTCGAGAACAACGAGCAAAGTTCCGGGTAAAATTAACTACTAGCATTAAACTAGTATCACACCCGTGCGTTGCACGGGTCATATTTAAGTTACTAAATTATATTAACATCATTTTTGAATGTCACAAATTAGTATATAATGGAATATAGAGATTTCATTTTTTTAAGTTACAAAAATTAAATGATTTACAATATTTGAAAGACTACTTTATAATTTACATTACTCGTATTTGTAAAAATATTGTCTTCATTGCATATTAGAATTTTAAAAAAATTATGATTTATTACTCTTGAAACGACAACATACATTTGTCCATGACTAAAATATAAATAGAATTAATCAAAACTCCGGTTAAAAAATTTGTTCAGAGTTAATTGTGTTGTTTTTTTATTTTGTCAAATTGCTAATAAAGTGGAGATCTATATATACTCCATAAAAACAACGGAGCATTTATAAAAAGAAACTAAATTTTTTTGCAGTGATTCGTTTTTACGGAAAGCAATACCACTTAGATCAAAATGGTAATAAGTTTTAATTTTAAACTTGGAAAAAATGGTAATAACTATTTTAAATAAAGTTTTAAATGAATGAAAATTTCAAACTTAATAAATGGTAATAAGTTTTAAATAAATATGGAAACTTTTTTAATGCTCATACAATTTTTAATAAAAATAGAAATATATTCCCCTTTACCTTATAATTATTAATTAATAGAATCCAAAATGACCATAGCAACACTTACTATTACCTGACGTAGCATTTAAATAAATAGAAACATATCCACCTTTTTGAATTACTATTTTCGGTGCTATTAAAAATAAAACATATTATTGTATTTAAATAAAAATAAAAATATTTTTAATGCTCATACAAAAACATAATTTTTTTAAATAAAAATAGAAACAAATTCCCATTTATCATTTACCATTAATTGGCATAACATTTAAATAAAGATCGAAACATATTTCCCTTTTCAGTTTACTGTTTCGTTCTTATTAAAAAACATATTGATATGTTTAAATAAAAATGAAAACAATTTTAATTCTCATATGAAATTCTACAATACCGTGCAATAAAAAAGGAAGATTTGCCTTTAATGGCGTGTGATAGTATAATAATAAAATTAATATGGTATTAATTTCGACCACTTAATATTGTGTGATAATATAATAACAAGATTTTCCCTTAATTATAATAATTATTACTATAATTTCGGCCACTTACCATTTTAAGTTCACATTTGCCATTTTTAATTGTCATAACGCATGGGCGGGAAAATCATATGTTAACTCCATGTCTTTTTAAATAAAGTATGGATATGGATGGATTTGTAGTTGGTCGAGAATAACCTATAGAGTGTTGGATAAAATTTACGAGTTGCATTTAAAATCGAGATCTACTTTTAAACCTAAATGTTTAAACTGATAGGTAGAGCAGAGTTTTACCATTCTATATATGACAGTGGTATTTATTTACTCTTTCAGATGTGAAACTCTAACACAAATCTTTAAAATATCACATACTCAATATAGTTGTTATAAGCAATTTCAAAAAGTAGTTACTTGTCGTCAAAATGTTATGATACGATAAATGTATCGGATAAAGAAGGGCTTCAAGTGCCTTCGAACTCCTAGGAAAGAGAAGGTTTATGCTATTACCGTATTTGATAATTAAAATGAGAGGGTACGTCTCTATTTATAGGCTTATAGAGAAACCCTAATCCTGTTTAACCTAGGTATTCTATCCTGACAATTTAAGAAAAGCAACGAGGTAAAAAACCGTAAATAAATATCCGAAGAAGCTTATAATACTGCTCTCTTAAGAAAATCCATTACATCCAAATATAATTAATTTATAATTAATTATTCTTTCGTAGACGACTCACTTGAAGACGTAATCTTCTTGCCATCTTAGAGCCTTTCTCGTTCGACGCCCTCTCTGGCTGTGTCCACTATCTGTCACTGCTTCCAACTCGTTGGGCCCAACATCATTATTCTACAGCTCTTGGCCCTAGCCTTGGTTTGCCCCACTCGTATCACTCTCCTCTGCTTGAGAAAACACTTTGTCCTTAAGGTGAAAGTTGGAAAATGACGACGGATGACGTCGCTTGGCTCCCATGTTGCATCATCTCGATTTCCATCTGACCACTCCACAAAATATTGTAGCTCTGGCCTACCTTGAAACTCCAACCTATACGGAGCTCCACCTATGCGTTTCAAAACTTGGAAAGGACCATAAAACCTCCT